GTTTATATAAGGTGATTCACGTAACTCGCAGGTGAGTTTAGAATTAACGAAGGTCAGGATATTTTTACCCGAAATTCGATATTCTTTGATACTCTGATATCAAAATTATAGAATTTTATGTGCAATAATGAAGTTGACCTCAAAATCTGCGGAACATTTCCATTTATAAAAATCTGAATGCATTACGTGATGTGCCTCTTCAAACCGCGACTTTTGCGTAAAACCTTTTCTCCTGTGATTCGTGCTTTAAAAGTTATACGAATGTGCAAATTTCGTGGAACATTCTGTGTATATGAAAATATCAAATAGACACGAAAAATGGCCAAAAAATTATCTACCAATTAAAATGGAGTATAGACAAAGTCCTATATGTTCAAACATGATTACACTTGCATAGGTTCAATTATCCAAAACATTTCGCATTCTGGGAATTTTTCCATGCAATTATTTCAAGAACTCCCGAGTTTCGAAATTGAAAAATGTAAATTTATTTACATAATAACCTTTCTCCAATTTAATAAACTTAAATAAAAATTATCAGTGTCACAGTGATGGTATCTCATATACTCAAATGTTAATTTGAATATTTATTTTATTCTTCAATAAAATATCTATGTCATTAGTATATTTGCAAGTCCATCTAACAAAATACCTGCGTAACTACTTCAGAGGTTATTTACCAAATGATCGTACGAATCATGCTTAACAAAGGACGTACTTAAGGGTCGAATACGCGAACATCGATAAACGCGAATCGATTGAGCTCTTGGGGTGCAGTCAATGCATTAATATGCATGAAACGACGATGAAACGAAAAATCTCCAAATTTTGAACGACTTCGAATTACAATAAAAATAATAAAAAGTATCACTAACAATAAGAAATCTTCTTATCACGGTAACTAAATTATTTTTACTGCTCGATGACGAAACGAAAAATTTACAAATTTCTAACGACTTAGAAATACAATACAAAGAATAAAAAATACCATTAAACAGTTTTCCTATCGCGGTGACTAAATTATTTTTACTCTTCGATGACAAAGCGAAAAATTTCCAAACTTCGAACCACTTTTAATTGCAATAAAAATAATAAAAAGTATTATTAAAAAATTTCCTGATCGCGGAGACTAAATTATTTTCAGAGAATTCTAATAATTCGAGGAACCTGGTGAAAATATGCGAAACGTAGCTGGAGAAATCGACGATCAGCTGGTGTCTCCAGGCAGTGGGAAACTCGGTTTCTGTAACTACATTATGGAAAGTTACGCCGGAATCGCGAGCGGATGGTTAAAAATTTAATAAGGAACTCCGGGGTCGCATCTGACCGCATTTACGATGTATCTTCCAGCCAGTTCGTATTTACTTCGTCGAACTCTATGCATCGCTAACTAACGGTGTTTAAACCTTCAGAATGGTGTTACCATGGAACGGTGCCGAGTGCAATTTCAGCAGGCCCCAGCGACTGAAAATTTTAACGCACCGAGGAATGCTCATTCCCCCTATCACCTATAGGGAATAAGAATTATTCGTAACTAGAGTATCTCATCTACATCTAATTGCAAAACCCATAGGGGTCAATTTACCTACCTATCATATATCGCACCCCTTATTGACTTTATTTTCCACAGCTTAATTGAATATTTTTTCCCATTCGCCACTCGGCTTGGTTAATTGAAATTCGATTCGTACAAAACGAGCAATCTCTCAAACGAGATTTTCGATGAAAGAGCGACTTTACTTATATAATATTAAACGATCAATAGCCATTCAGCTATTTAGAATTGCATTAACAGGAATTTTTACATTTTCACAAAGACCATATATTTTGTTTCTCTGTTACACAGTCTCGTGAATAATTGAAGCAAAGGGACACAGGTTTGAAGGTTGAAAAATCAGTTATATGTTACGAGATCTAATTAGTGCTGCAAGACTTGTCGGCAATTATCCCGAGAATTAACGCGTACGTTTGATATCAAATGAGGTGAAAATGTTTCGTAACGTTGGTTGTATAACGAATTACACAATGCTCTGCATCGACATTTAACGTCGAGTTCGTGAAAACGATTCAATTTTTCATCGTACACGAGTGAAAGCTTCCGCCATTTTCGAGGTCCTCGCTGTTCCTCCGCGGCCGGAGACCGCCATAATGGCGGGCATAAACTTTCGGCATCAAATTTTCACGAAAGAAACGACTCCCTTATTCGACTTTTTTCCCGAGGCTCTGATCGAGGCTTGAACGTGAGATGCAAAGGAATCGCTTCTCAGTTGGGCGAAGAAGCGAGGAAATACACGAGAAGAAGAAGAAAATGGGAAGAAACGTGGATGCAGGTCGAAAAGAAACTTACATGAAAGTGAATACGTGAGTTTGAAATCCGAAAAGGCACGAGAGCGTAAATTTCGAAGAACATTACAAAATTTGATGAAAAAATTCGAATATCTATTACGTAAAAATAATTTTAAAAACCAATATCATTTTCTGATATTATATATTTTATATACTATAATTGGATAATACGTATATTATGTTAACATGAAATTTTTAAATGTCCAATTATAATTTGGAATTCCATTATCACCAGAATAAAGATAGAAAATGAAAGATTTTTCTAAGTTCAGGAACATAACGTTTCTTCGAACACCTAACCTCTGATGCAATAACGAATTCTTCTAATTCCATTCAAATGTTGACTTTCTAGCCGTAGTGACAAGTTCCACCATTTTCCTGCACGTGGAAAAAAAGGAAAACAATCCTATTGAAATAGAAAGATGAAAAGGTGGATAATATACGGAGCAAAGGCTGGAGAAGCAAGAAGCATCGAGATAGAAGAGAGTGGTGGCTGGTCCGATAAAGCGAGGAACGACGTGTAGATAAAGGGAGGACCGCGTAGGAGGGCAAGAAAATATAGATTGCTTGAGAAAGACGAAGCGAGAGTCCGTTGGTGGGAGAAGGACACGCATACACGGATCGATCGGTAGGACTATTCCGTGGGTGTCGAGTTCTGTCTCCCTCCCGCCCGTGGATTCGGTTCAGCGATAGAGAGAGAGGGAGAGACGCGTAGTGGTCCGTGTAACTCGGTTTCAATGGGAAATTGCGACCTATGAATGCATTAGGATACTATGGGGTTTTACAAGTGATGACCTCGCGAGACTACCAATAGGTGACGCAGGTCACCGATTACGACTGCCATTTATGTCGTCATTTCCTTTGGAAAGTGGCGTCAATTTCGCGGACAATCGGGCGTGATCGTACCGCCGGATAGTGAATGTCAGAGTTCGCGCTGTAAATTCGCCGATCAACTAAACACCGAACGACCTGAATGCGAGAGCACTCTAGCGTTCGAATCGGGAACGAGCGCTTCCGGCTGACGAGTAGCGCACTGGATAACTGGGTGAAATAACGAGGTCTTATTTCCACTTTGGTGGTGTTTGAACAAGGAGCGAAGGAGAAGTGGAGATTGACTTGGGAGATTATTATGCAAGATGGAAACTCTCGGGGAATGTATTACGAACAAATTTTGTGTATAAAATACACGTGTACTGTATTTAGATTTTCCTTACATAAAAGTGTATTATCAATCCTTTGCAGTCTGAGAATTTCTTTTTCTGCAACCGGAAAATTTATTTTAAAAAGAAAAAGGATATAAATTTCTCTGAATTTATTTAGATAATAACCTTCTCCATATTTTTTTTCTTTTTTTATTAATGAAGATAAAATAAGATTACAATTTGAGTTTCATTAATGTCACCGTGATGGCGCCACTGAACCGTAAAAGATTAATTTTCGGCAAGCATATCGTTTGTCGAATAAAGAATAAGGACTTGAAATAATAAAGAATCGAAGATGAGATTTTTCCTTTAGACCCTAGGGTGTTTATGAAATAGGAATTCTCGATTAAAATAGAATATGTTTGTCTATTGGAGGCTGGTTAATCACACAATATCACGAATTCGGGATTTGCAAATGTTTATTGCGTGACATCTTATGGCTTATCAGTAGACCGAAGTAACGAACGTTATAAACGAACTTACGAGCTACATGTTACGTAGGAAATAGTGACTCCGTGACACCGTAGCCTCGCGATTAGTCGATTAGAAATAATCGCTGTGAAATGAGCTGCTTCAGCTCGTTTGACCTAACAATATTCCTTAGTGCGATAACAATGAATCGTAACAACTTTACTTCATCCAAACACAGATCGATGGTGTTATTTTAGTCCAAAAATCGACATCGAAACAACTCATATAATCGTTTAAATAATTTACACGAATTATTTACACGATACCGCATTTAAAATATGCGCCACAATACCTTTTCTCTTAACCAATGACGAATTTGGCGCGGTCGAAGGTCTGCCATGTTGCATCCGATACCATTCCCTGTCTGCCTTCAAAAGTAACGTACTAATGTGATATCACTTCGATAAGCTAGTCACTATTAATTAAACAAGTGCGACGATATTACCACGCACAATATTAGTCTTATATTACGACGAAGACTATACTTTAAATCAATTTTATCATTTCAAATACCGACCGGCGTTACACCGAACACTGCACGAACTTCAACTAACGAATTAATCTGATTGGTTCATAGTTATTGCTAAACTAAACGGACCAATCAGCGCGCTAATTCCGTCAGCCATATTGCTGACGTGCCCGAGAACCAATTACGTTCAGTTTAGAGTTCCAACTTTCGACGTATTACGTGCAAATTTTCACGCGGTTAAAAGTGACGAAATTAATACAAATTGATACTTATAAATGTTATTTTCGTATACAACGTTCGTATTAGTTGTTCTATTAAACGTGAATACTTTTTCATTTCAAATATTCGTAAAATTTCTGTAACATGAGTGTTAAACAGTGTAGCCATATCGCGCGCTTTTTACGTCAATTCCGATTTCAAAATTTCCTTTTACTCGATGTTATAAAACGTGACAATATCTGAATTCCTGTGTAAAAAGAATTCTTAAGATTATTTATCGCAAGTGTGATCATATAAATTGTGGATTTCGTGATTTTATAGATGGTTTTATACACGAAAGGATTTTGATCGTGCTTTTGTGCGTGAGTGGTTATTTCGTGAGGATTGAAGGACAATGTAAGATTCGAAAACTTCTTCTTGGATTTCACACAGACAAGGACTACGACTGTAGATGACGGGAGAAGCTGTAAAGAGCAATGGCTGCATCTAAGGTAAGATACTGTCCATTATTTGACCTCTACTTTAATAGTTTCGATAAATCCTTTTTTCGTTCGATGATGGCGGGCATCGAAGCTCGCGAATTAACGTCTTAAATGCTAAGCTCAATATCACTGTGTAAACAGACATGTCTTTCAGTCGATAGACTTCATCTCTTTCTATTTATCATTCCTCCTTTTCTCTTTTTATTTTCTCCTTTTTTACAAGCGATTCGTATACAAGACGAATGGATCTAAGAAATTGTCGACGTTTCTCGATTATCTTACTACTATTTACAAAAAAGACCCGATTAGAAGGGTGAAACGTGTCGTAGGAGAAGGAACGATGCGATTAAAGATTTCATTAGAATACTCTGATGAACACAGGAATACTTGATTCCACATTTTACATTCTTACATGTTAATTACATTAATAAATGCAATGAGAATGTTTAGAATCTCGTGCTTCGTACACAATGCTTTTTATTTTGTACACGATCACGAGAGTCTTGATTCCTTAGGGAAAAACTAACTGGCCCAAACGTGCGACTTGTTATTGCTTGACAATCTAATGTACTCTACTCCCTACATGCTGTGTGCTCCTGTAAAAATCCTAGGGTCTAGGAATAATATATTAATCGTTAGGTTGCAACAAACAAATCTTTTGAGAAACTGCCTCGTTATCCTATCTTGTACATGTTTTAATATCTTTGCTAAGACTGTTGTGAAAAGAAGATACTTTTCAATTGTTATCAATGCGTGTAATTAAACGATGGCAGTTTTCTCGTCGACATTGTAATCGTACAAAACCATTTTTGCTTTTTGTCCTTGAAAAAGTTACTTGACTCGTAAACGAATCGTCATTTGTGTTTCACACTTTCGTGGATCAGCTTCGCGATGAATAGTATAATGTCCTTATCTCTTCTTCAACATTAAACACACTGTTTACAACGGCGTACATGTATTTAAGGTTTCTCGCGTTTTGAGCGCTCGATTAGAGATTTCGAAACATTTCTCGATTTTATTTATTTTCACTAGTGACGATCCAGGGGTAAGTTGACGATTCAGTGCCTCACGTCGGCTTCATCGGCGGATTGATTTTCAAGGGTGCATGGCCTGCGGAATTCTTGACCTCTTTCGTGCAGCCATTTGTTTGCCACTAAAAAGGGAATAACATAAATATTAATTATATTATGTTATATTATAATTGATAAAAGAATATCATAAATAAATATTAATCATAAATATTAAGATTACATAATTGGGCTTTAATTGGCTTTGGTAGTTGACATACCCCATTTAGAACCAGTGAGAACAGGACAAGCAGCGTGTCTAGTTTTAAAATCTCCCTCTCCATTGGGTTTGAGGTTATACCAGAAGGCTGCGCTGCCTTTCTTGGGCCATAGGGAAATGTTTATGGCGGTGAACACGGTGCCGCCACCTTGTTCCACGTCGCTCATCTGAATATATGAACATCAGAATGAATAATATACTAATTCCAAAACTTATTTCATAGCTTAGTATCTAATAGTTGCATGTAGATTACAAACATGGAAGAAATATCAAGAAAAACATAAACAATGGTATATACATTTAACAAATTTTCCATACTCAAAATATCTATATTTGAATCAGGCAGAAATGAGATACCTACATAGTATAAAACTGTAGCAATGCGATTTCCAGTTCCCAGGCTTTTAAACGCATTTGTTTCCTCTTTCTAAACATAAATGATTGTTTACATTAATAATGTATCACAATGACTAGTTTAATTTAAGGGAGAGATGGCATAGAATTTCAACTTACTCTTGCAAAATCAAAGTGTGGTTCATAATGACCACCGATACCATAATTCACCACTTGCAGTTCTTCTGCCGTGTCAACAGACAGACTAGTCATGTGTTCCACACGTCGGCTAACCGCTGCCACGTGTTTATGTTCGTGCTCCTGAAGCCACGCACTCTTACTAATCCTATAATTCGCTATCTCTAAGGCACCAGTTTTGTAATTCTGTACCGTGGCACGTTTGAACTGCAATGACAAAATGAAGAATCAATATTCATCCAAGTCACATGAAAAGTATATGTAATCAATTATCAACATTTCACGCAATTAATTTCCAATCAATTAGGATCTAGGTGACTTATGTTTGACGTCTGTTATATTACCCTGGGTTGCGCAAATCTTTTAATCGTCTCGATTTCCTCATCGTATATCACGTCATGGTATACGACTATCCTCGGATCTAAGTAAGCCTCCTCCTCCTTGAACGGGGCGATTTTCAAAAATGGAATTCCACGATCGACGTAGCGACACTTGAGGTTCTTTTGTAGTTCCGGTGTGATGGACACCTCACCTCGGCACAGCATCTCGTAGCGCTCTCTTTCAGTCATCTCCTCCCAAGGTTTCACTTTTTTCTCGGTAACAGTGAAGTGCTGAAACATAGTGACAAGGAATTAAATTACTGTAAGGATATCTCAAGGTTTGAATTAGCTTTTAGGTTTCTATTAAGTCTATTAAGTCGTCTCGAGAGCAACTCGAGGTCACTCGAAAATGACTTTTAGGATATCTCGAGATTAATTCAATTCAAGATCACATCAAAACGTCTATTTCAAGTTCAGTCATGTTAAGGTTATCTGAAGGATATTAGGTCATTCGTAGGCAATTTAAAGGACATCATAAGGCTACCTGAAGAATATCTCAAAGTCATTCCAAGATCACTCGAAGGTTATTTACAGGACATCTCAAGGTTACTTGAAAATTACACGAAGAATCAAGGTTATCTGAAGGTCATTATAAGGACACGCCGAGATTATTCGAAGGTTATTATAAGGACACTTCGAGATTATTCGAAGATCATTATGACACCTCGAGATTATTCGAAGGTCATCATGGCACCTCGAGATTATTCGAAGGCCATTATAAGAACACCTCAAGATTATTCGAAGGTCATTATAAGAACATCCTGAGATTATTATTATCCTGATATCCTGAGAATATTTTTATTATCGAAGGTTATTTCAAAGTCAATTCAGGATCATTTCACAGTCATTCCCGAAGTGGTATCAAGGATAAAGTCGAATAACCAAGGAATCAGATCCAAAATTTTCCGCATTATTTGCAAGTTTTTGCCAACAATAACCCTCTTTTCTTCCCATATCTTCGTATCGCAAGGCAAGCGTCAGTGGAGTCCTTTAACAGCGTTCGCCGCAAGCGAAGCTACACGAGATCATCCTAAATTGAATTCAGCGCCAGGCAGTCCGACCATGGAGTCTGCAACGCGCTATCTCACCTGCGCAGGAACAGCGGTGTCGTCCAGACCATCCTCGCCGCGTTTCTTCCTCGACTGGCTCGCCTTGCTCTGGATCTCCTTCTGATAGTAAGCCCGATTGCCCAAAGCACGCTCGTGAGTCGGCACCAGCTCCAACAGCTCGTTCGTCATGCTTAGAGCCCGCGCCACGTTCCCTGCGCACAATGAGGCGGTATAAATTTCGCGAAGAAATCGGGGAAATCGCTGTTTGCCCGGCAAACGTTAAATTCTTTCCGGCGAGTCGACGCCGAGTTTCTCATTATTTAACGAACCGTCATTCCCGGCTTAATCCGACGATTTCACGCTAGAAAGGGTTAACGCCAGCGTCCCCAGGCATAATACGTTCGACGAACTTTTAACGAAGCTCTAAACAAACTAACCGGCCGGAAGTTGCCCGTTCGCGACGGGAAATTTTAACGGCAATTAAATTCCTTTCCCCGTTTTCTTTTAAACGCCCCTTTTCCCGCCGAAGCTGTTTGAAATTGATTTCACGGGCATTAAATCCACCCCGGAACGACGGACGACAACGAGCACGATTATTGACACTGACTTATTGGCCTTTTCGTCTCTTCGTTAGCCATCTTCACCGATATCGCGAATAAATATCCTAATTCCGACATTCGAAAATTTAATTTCGGATGAACGAGATTTTTATTCCTTTGGAATGTGTTACTATATAAAGATTGCATTCTCCATGGTGCATGCTCGATGGTGTATGCGAATTTTATAATAATGTCTTTGAAATTTTATTGGAATTTAAGGAAAATAAAGTGCCACGGATTTTCATTACTAGTGGCAATCAAACTATTGTTAATTTTTCAAATCAATCACTGGGATTTAAATTCTTCGAAAATTTTAGAAATTTTATTAAAAAATTAAAGCCAATAGAAACGAGGTATATTTGATTATCAATAGCACTCAAACCATTGTTCATTTTTCAAACCCATCACTCGGATTTAAAATCTTCAAAAATTTTAGAAATTTAGAGATAACTTATCCCATGAAAAAACAAATTTCCATCCTATACTAATTCGACACTTATTGTCCAAAAGAGAATTAAAAAATTCTCCTATTAAAATTATTTGAGACACCTCATGAGTATACAATTTTTATCGTCCACTTTATTTTCATCTCCCAACATTTAAAATTCTAAAAAATTCCGAAGCTTGAACGAAAATGTAGAAACAGAACCGTGAACGATACACAGGCGCTGTAACTGCAGGGTGACACTCGGATATACGTGTAATTTAGCTTCTAATTTACAATGGCCGACTTTTATTCGCTCGCGGTAACTTTTCCCCCAGTTTTCGGCTCGCAAATCTACCCCTCACGCGTTCACCGAAATTCCCGTGCAATTGTAACTTTCATTCACCAAAGAACGCTGCTATCCTCCAAACAACTATTCCAAAACCTTCGCGATATTTTCACTCGACGAATATGAAAATTAAAAATATTCGAACACCGTGGGTACGTCTCTATGCACTTCTGCCTCGAATTTTCGGAGGGTAAATTAATCACGAACAAGGAGGAAGTATAGTTCTTATCGAGATATCATACCTTGCATGTACGTCGAGAACGCCAAGTATTCCAATATGTCCGGTTTCGAAGTTGTGGTGGCGTTTTGCTCCTCCTGAAGACGATCCATGGCTTCTTGCATCCAGAGGACGGTGTGATAGTAATCACGATTGTGATAAGACTGTCTCCCAAGTTCGAAACAATCGCTGGCTGCGGGGGAGGAGAGATCGGGACAGATTAATTTAACTTTCCTTAACCGTCTATCGAATTTTAACTATTTTCTTCCCCGGGGTTCCCAACAAATCCCGGAACACGTATCAAAGAAGATCCGAAAGAAAATCTCGAAGAGGATCTCGAGATATTACCACTCCGTTCGCTGATTAAAAGAATCGTTGTGAAACGCGATAAAAAGGATAAGAGACCTCCTCCATGGCCAATAAAACGAACAATTCGATCCTGGTAGACCCTAAAACTCTTCGCGTGTAACCAGAAACGCGAGATCTCTCCAACTCCAGCATTTCGCGGAATTCACCGTCTCGACGAGATCTCGGGGTGAAATTATTCGAAGAAAAAATAAAAGGGAAGACAGAAACACAAATAAAGAGAGAGAAAGAGAGAGAAGGGAAACTGCAGAGTTTCGTAGGAAGGAGAAGGAAATTTATTCTCGTGATTTCGACTTCTCTCCCGGCACCCCCGATCGTCGCAGTCGCACCGTTCCCTGATTATTCCGTGATTCTGAGCCCACCCTGTATAATTCATGAGTCTATTATCATAATTACATTCGTAATAACATCGCACGATGGCCGGTCGCGGGAAAAATCTGAAAGCCGGGGCCGAAGAGGGAAGCTGCCACCCCTGGCTCAACCCCGTACACCCCGGCCGTCGGCCCCCGTGGTATTTTTCGAATCGAACTTTCCTCGCCGAAAGTTCCTTGCACCGTTATGCATTCCGACCGGCGTCAAACAGCCGGGAAAGCTTCACCTTTCGTCCATCGCGACTTGCTCTTTTCTTTGCACCTCTTGCAGCGAAAAACTTGCCCCGTTAATTAATTTCACGATGGTCCGCCGCAGATTGCGAAGTTTCGCGGTTATACCGCGAATTTATCCGCGGCAAGTTCCGGCAGATCGCTAAATAAGGGGGTTTATTCGGCCGGAACAGGCTGTTGGAATAAAAACAGAGGGGATGCGGGAGTTTTACGCGGCTATAACGAAGTTCGAAATTGAATCGTAAAGGCGGTGAATCGCGAGAACGGGCAGCACCCTTCTTCTGCAATCGTTTACGCGCCGGCATAAAGCGAAAGGGGTGGGTATAGGATAGGATTACTCGTTTATAATTTAATCAGAGGCCGGGAACGATTGGCGGCCGTGGAAATCTCGCGTTGTTTCTCGGCCGCGAGCTTTTCGCCGGATAACCGGGATTAAACGAATCTTAATTTAATTTAATCCGCCGTACGGCTAATTGAATCGAATTTAAATTAGCCATGAAGGCGACCCGGCCTTAGATCCCCGCGTGATACTTGATTAAATTTAATAATCTACTAATAACACGGACGCCGGTCGTACTACCCAGTGTTTCGTTATTTTCATTTAGCTCTTCGAGTTAATAATATGCCCCGGGTTTATTACCTTCGCGTAGATTCGAGAGGTACGTTTTCCAAAATATACCGGATATCGGAAAGTTAATTTTTGCACCGGTTCAGACGTGTGTGTGGAGGAGGTAGGGGTGGGTGGGTGGTAGTAGAGATAGACAGATGGGTGTGGGTGCTAATTTAATAAATAAATGAAGTTTGTATTCAATAAAATTATAGTTAGTAGTATAGTTTTAATTATTTAGTAGTAGCATAAATATAATTATAGAATTATAGAATTATTTAGTAGTAGTATTATAAAAATACCGACTATTTTATTTATTTATTTATTTTTTTTTAATTATTTGTTAGGCTTACTATGTGCAGATGTGGGTGGTTGGGTGGGAGTAGAGATAGACAGATGGGTGTGGATACTAATTTAATAAATGAATGAAGTTTGTATTCAATAAAATTATAGTTAGTAGTATAGTTTTAATTATTTAGTAGTAGCATAAATATAATTATAGAATTATAGAATTATTTAGTAGTAGCATTATAAAAATACCGACTATTTTATTTATTTATTTTTTTTTAATTATTTGTTAGGCTTACTATGTGCAGATGTGGGTGGGTGGGTGGCAGTAGAGATAGACAGATGGGTGTGGGTGCTAATTTAATAAATAAATGAAGTCTGTATTCAATAAAATTATAGTTAGTAGTATAGTTTTAATTATTTCGTAGTAGCATAAATATAATTATAGAATTATAGAATTATTTAGTAGTAGTGTAAATATAATTATAATTTTAGTTCATATATTTATATTAATGTGATTATGGATTTTATAAAAATGTCGACAATTTTTCTCTTTCAATTATTTGTTAGGTTTACTATATGCAAATGTGGGTGAGTGGGAGGGAGTAGAGATAGACGGATGGTTGTGGGCACTGATTCAATAAATGAATTATGTATTCAGTCATAAAAAATTATTTTACCGTAAATAGTAGAATATAAAAGCACAACGAGAAGTTAATACTTGATTCCTACTAAATTAAGATGAATTAAACATTTTTCTGAAGGTATATCATCTTCAAAATCTCTGGAAAAACCAGCAACCACAGAAGCCCAATTATTCTCCCTGCACTCTTCTATTCACACGAACCTCTGCCACTTTCACCTACCCCACCCCGGATTCCCTATTTTCAATTACTCACATCCCTACTCGGAATCACCATTCCCCTTCCACGAAACAATCTCTGCTTCCTTCCGAGCCACGTTCGCAACCCTCGAAGGGTGGACTCGAAAAGGAAGGAGAAAAAAGGGAAAAAAAAGAAAAAAAATCATAGTCGAGCATGAACGGGGAAGAAAATCGTACCTACGAGAAGAAGATCGTTCCCATTAGCCATTCAATATTCATCGGACTCCCCATGGTGGGTCTAAATGATGCAAGGAAACGGGCCGTGGCTCCGTGTCGACGAAAAAATCGCTTCCTTGTCACGGCGAAGGTCGGAAGCTTGCACACGGCAATAAGAGCAGCCACGGAGACGACGAAGGGTAAAAAGGGAGGAAGGAGGGGAAACGATGGCGACAACAGAAGCCGCGAATTATCCCTGCAACCCCGTGGACGAAAGCCGGGGCAGGGGGCAGGGAGGGATGCCGATGAAAGAAATGGCGTAAATTATTCATGTCAGGGGTCGTTGAGTACAGGTAACATCGGGAGCCAATATTCCTGGCCGATTCGCAACGTTTTGCCCTTGCTACCCCTTTTCGATCCGAATAAATAATTCACCGCGAAGGAAGGTCCTCCTTTTTTTCCCTCGGCCCCCTTTTTCCTCGCCACAGCCCTGGGCTAATGCGATAACGAGGCGTGGATGCCTCGTAATGAATCATTTAGCTCGTAATACCCGACCTAACTGCTGCTAAGAATTTTATTGTCGCGGGACAGACTGCTTCTTTATTAGGCCCGTCGAGGATCTTTGATTTAGACCAGCTGACGGCCAAATATCGAGTTGTGCTTCTGAATTAGTGATATACGCGGTAATAGTTGACACAGATTTTAATATATACGGTAGCTCACGAAAGTATTCGCATGCTATATTTTAAAAGAATTCTCTTATCCAAAAGTTCTGATTTTAATGAAAGTTCGCATAAAGTAATGCCGAGTTACGTGTGCAGTATGTTTTTTATTGGCAAAAAATGACTTTGTGGGAATTTTAATTTTAATTTTATTTATTTTACAATTTTTTGCTTCATAAACCGGATCTCACAAAGAGAAATATTTGCTATAGAATGACAGAGCACTAAGAGTTAAACATATTTTATTCGAAAAAACTTCTATTTATCTCGCATCGTTATACAGTTACATTTAAAGAACTTTGAATAACTATTTCACCCATCCAGGTGAAGCAGTATCTGTAAATAAAAGGAGTTCAACCATGTGTAACTCGTTAAGCATTACATGCATGCAAACTTTCGTTGAAATCAGAATTTTTAGGTTAGAATACTCTTGAAATTTGTATATCGTTCGAATATTTTCGCGAGCTACTATATATTGATGCAAAAATGAGTGATGTCTGTAAGAAAGAACGAGAGGATCGAATATACGTGTAATGAATAAAGTATGGTACAGACTGTGTATATTTATGTATTATAATACAGGGTGTCCCAAAAAAACGTATATACATTTTAATACCTTTCTAATTTCCCTTTAATTTATTTTTTATTTATTTATTTATATATTATTTTTATAATCATGCAAAGTGTGTATACATTTTTTTTTAGACACCCTGTACACGAAAGAAGAGAGAACAAACGAGAGAGTACATGGATAGGTCAGTTGCAATTCAGAATTCATTGAGAATAGGGTGAAGGTGTATCGTGAGAAAGAGTAAACATAATTAGATATATTTCATAGATCCCAACCCCTAACCTAACGTTCAATAATATTATCTAATAATATTGGAAAAATAATTATTCGTTATATTCATATAAATATAATATCCGCGACTAACAGTCTATACAGGGTGTCCAGGAATAATACAGTGGGTAAACAGAGTATTGGTATATCATCTTGCAGAGTATTTGGTATATCATTGTGAAACCTGAAAGTTTCGATTTTAATCCCTTGATTTAATCGAGAAACTGTGCATTTGGAAATTATTTATTTCATTTTAATTAGGGGTAGTAGGGGTAGTACGTATTTTCTATATAATAAAACTCTTCTTGTTTGCATTTTTTACCCTGTTCTTCTGTTCCCCTCCCCTATATATTACATCACGATCCCTTTACAAACTCCGTTACAAAATTTAAAATTTTATCGCGAGAGTTGGTCAGAATTTTCCAACAGGCCATTTCGTTCTTCCTTATATTCCCTTCAAGACACTTGACTCCGTATAAACTGCTGAAGATTTCCCGTCGATATCTCAAAAAAGGTTCTCTTCCCTCGAAAATACCGAACGTCTGAAGCTTGACGTTATCGGTTCCCTCTCGACTTCCTCCACGCTTCGTTTCACAGTCTATTTTTCCCCTTTTTTCCCTGCACACTATCGCGAGATCCCCGCCGCGAAGCCACGCGTTATTGTTCGTGAAATCCATTCGAGGCAGTGAAGAACTCTTTCAGCAACCGCTTTCCGAAGATCGGTGCGAGTTCTCCCCTACGTGGGAGATAGGAAAAGTTTTCGAAAAAGCAGCTGCTTGTAGGCGCCATTCGAAACAAAACGAGCGAACTCAATCGTGCCATCTATCGGAGAAACAGAGAAACAGGGATCCTCGTTTGGGAACGCGGAGTTCTGCGACGACACTAGCGCCACGAGGACGTAACTTGTGAACCTAATTTCGCGAAGAGAGGAAATAAAATACGTCTTTGATTATTTATTGAAATTTCGAGTGATTAGGTGTATCGATGTTATGAACAAGCTGCTTGCTTCGAAATTAGGCTTCGTGATTATGGTTCCCACCTGTTTTACGAGAAGAGTAGCTTCGAATTAGCCTAACGAGGGACCATATGCAACCTGTACAACCGATTTCGATGAAATTTCTGGGAAGCATAGTTCTCGAAGAAATATTTGACACGCCTTTCATTATTTTACGATTTTATTAACTCTAAAACTACCAACCCAGTGAAAATGACTGGTCCCAGAATTTTCCTTTTTGCAATTACCGAACGCATACACCTGTTTTAAGAATAAAATCAACTCGTATTAAGAAAGAACTGTAATCAATATATTCACTCATATTCATCGTATCGCTGAAATTACTATAATCTGTGCACGTTATAGTTAGGTACGCATTAAAAATCGGTAGTTCTAGTGTTAAAGGGATTCTAGGGGTTTTACCAAAGGGGATTTTATAAAAGAGGAAGAATCAAAAGCGGCGTCAAGGCAAAGCCAAGTTTCCATAGAAAAAAACTTGATAAAAATGCGAAAAACGGAAGCCCTTGACTGAAAGGGGATCAAAAACAGAAACTCTCGAAACCGGAAAGACTCTTGAAACTTGAAGAGCCAAAAGAAAACACTCGCTGGCGATATCAAAAAACCTTTTGAAAAAGGGAAGTTACACATGGACAAATAAACTGTGGGTGCCGACCATGATCCCCAAACGTGGAACCCCTAAAGAACGGGAGAAAATCGAAAATTGGAGGAGGAATCTCTCGAGCCAGGAGGAAAGAAAATTCAGCGTAGTCAATGTAGCGTCCTACGGTATCGAATCTCTTCGATTTCCAAGAACGCTTATCACGCGCCAAATTGATATTGCGTGACTAGTTGTGATAATAAGGATCCAGAATGCGCGTGGTCAAAAGAGAGTGTTTATTTACAGAAAAGCGTAGAATAGTTATAATGTAGACGTTAACGGAGTACCGTTTCGAACACGCGTTCGTATGTGTAATTAAGATGTTGGAAGGATCGGTGCCGAAGACGAACTGACTTCTCGATTTTGCTCTATGTCCTGTCTCGTCGTGTTCGGTCCGGTGTTTTCTCTAGTTAAGTTCTGATTGGGTAAAATAGACGTTGGTGGTGGAAAGGTAAAGAGTTTTAATTGGACAGAGGGTGTGACATAAGGACCTTTGGCTAAGGAGTAGGAAACTGTCAAGGAGCCGATTTCTGATGGTCAATGACGTGATTTATAAGTGCCGTCCGTCCGTCGCTTGTTGGGTCTGTCACAAGTGGGCCCCATCTGTCGCGTCTGGTACTAGTAAAATTCCTAATTTTGCTTTACCTTTATAAGCTTAATCCGCTAGAACGGCGTTGAGGCACATCGAACCTCCGGAATTGCAGTCGCGGTATAAAATATAAAATAAACCGTTAGGTCTGTTAAAAGTGTAGGCCTTAATTATAAAATCATGTTCTAAACACGCTCTTCGGGACGGAACAGTCAAAGAGAAAGAAAAGGATGAGAAAGAGGTAAAGAAATAATCCGTATGTACAAACCACTTAATCCGGTGCTATACTGGATCCCATTCAGCACACCCCTAGCGACTTGTGCAGTCTCGAGCTTGTACGTGTCCTGTAGCCTCATCAAAGCGACAGCAGCGCCATTAAGGTCCTCGTCAGTGGGGAATTTCAGGTCGCTCCGTGAGCTGGTGATATTCGCGACGAAGGACTTGCCAACGTCCTGGGTGATCAGCTCCTCCACCCGTTTCCAATCGGTGGTCAGTCTTTTCACCAGCAGATAAGCGTTGATTGGGTTAGACAGGTACTGCTGAATGTTTCTCGACGCCTCCTCGTGCTCCCTCGCGTAATCCTCCACGTTCCTGAAACACAGTGCAAATATGTTTTTATTCCTCGCTGTAATGTGTCATAGGTGTGCATGATTCGAGCATGACTACAAACGTCCGTGACTTGGGCTATTTCGAGTGCAGGGGGTTAAGGTGTATTTATAGGAACGTAAATGAAACACGAACTTTTATTAAATTCTGCGATCTCGACTCACGACCAACAAAACAGAACCTTCGGAATACGGCTTTTTAATATCCCAAGTTTCAAGCTCTTTAGGTTTATGATCTCCAACTCTCATCCGAATTGCACGAGATTCGACCATCTTCGAGTTATTCGGTGCAAAATTTTGGGCAAAGTTTATGAAACTCTCTTCATCAGAAAATTCGTAAATTAAAAAAAAATTCGAAGAAGGTATCAGTACAATATATATCGCATATAATATTATTATTGCATGCTATATTATATTGCATATCATTATAGTTAATAAGGATAGTGTAACATAAAATTACGAAATTTATTATTAAAATTTATTAAAATTTAACTTTCAAATATAAAATAAATATATATAGTATAAACAAATTTAACTCTCAATTAATTAAACTTTGTCATTAAAATTGATAGCATCGAATGTTATAACATAATAAATAAATTTAAATAAGGTATAAAATAAATATATATGTAAATTATTATAGCCTACATAGAATTACATATAAAAATTGTTGTTTCTTTGTTGGCCACGTAACATCTCAGAGACACTTTGGTACCTGAATGATAATTAAGTCGACTTCCGTCGCGATACTTAATTAACACACGTGCAACTGTACAAACGAGGAAAAGCAGATTTCTGCCGGCTTCCGGTGATTACCCTTTAATGAATTTAGGAAATTCAATCTGCGCCGCAAGGAATCCGGCGGAACGGCGTCGTGGACGCTTTTTAATTTAATCTCTGACTGCAAAAGGGGTTGCTGTATCCCGCCCCTTTCCCTGCACAACAGGCCCTTTTACCGTGATTCAGCAGATGTTTCCCCTGATTCAAGGAACAGACCTCGTTGTCATTTTCTTTTCTCCCTCTCTTCCCAAACGATCCCCCGAATCGTTTCATCTCGCGCCATTTTCCACCGTGTTCTCCACGGCGCGCGACGAAGCAAGTATTTTCGTGGATCGTTTAATCTCCCCCCGCGATCGGAAAATGACGAATCGCCTTAATTTCAAAGCGATCGATTTTTCGTTCCACGGACAAACAAACGGGGAAACAAGGCAGGAGAAAAAGGAGCGAAATTTGAACGGCAAAAGGTGAAGGGAGAATGAAATATGGAAATTGAGGAAAGCAGATGAAGGAAATATACGAAGTAAAAAGTGGGTAAAAAGTGGATAAAGGTAAATGAAAGACACGTAAATTGGATGAAAAATGCATAAGGTGGATAAAAAGCCGAGAGATATTGCAGGAGTTCGTGAAAAGTGGCAAAAAATAGGTAAAGTAGTTGCGGAGTGGATAAAAAGCAAGTAAAGTGCATAAAAAGTGGTTAGAAACTGGTTAAACGTATAAAGAGTAGTTAAAAATAAATAAAACGAACGGGAAGGTAAAAAGTAGGTAGAGTGGGTAAAAAGTAGGTAAAAAGATAGGTAAAGGGATTAAAACGGCAGAAGACGGGAATGGTAAATAAGGGGGACGTAAAAAGATGAATTTCGCGGATGAGAAAATGAAAAATGAAAAATAAGAGAAAAAGGAAAAAGAAAATTCCACGTTATATTTAGAGTCGCGCAGTGCGCGAAAATTACAGCAGTCGTGAATTGCAAGTTGAATAGCTCAAACAGCGCTGTTCGTCGTCTCTCCTAGCGTTATGCCGGCCATTGTTAAGAAGATAGACTTCTAGCTTTTCCAGTAATTTAACTTGCAAACTTCAACCACGAGAAACTTTCCGCGTTGCGGAATTCTCAAAAGCAATGATAACTTTTCTTCTCGACCATCCGCGACGGAAGTTTCCGGTTAAAGAATATAGAACTTTTTTCAACTGCAATCGACTGCGAAATGTGATCAGATCGCGTAATTTTTGCCGGAAAAACGCTTCCGATAATTCGCGGATGGTGTCACAGGTAGCTATGTAAAAATACATATACAAATCTGAGAACTATTCTAAAATTGGATGACGTGGATCATCTTTCGCTTCTAAGTTATCTAACTAGCGATCTTCGTTCAATTTTTTTTCTAAGCACGATAAATAGGATCGTGGATTCGATTACTTTGGATTATTAGGCTTCCAAACTTGAGATTTTCGAATTTTGGGACCTGAAATTTAGAGCCTAGGATACATGGACTTCGAAGTATAACTAGATCCCAAAATCCAGACGTCAGTCATGGGATCTCACACCTTAAGCTTTAGACCCCAAACCTCAGACTTCAGACCTCGATAAACTTGAGATTTTCGAATTTTGGGACCTGAAATTTAGAGCCTAGGATACATGGACTTCGAAGTTTAACTAGATCCCAAAATCCAGACGTCAGTCATGGGATCTCACACCTCAAGCTTTAGACCCCAAACCTCAGACTTCAGACCTCGAACCTCAGACCTCAGACCTCAGACTTCAGACCTCAGACACCAGACCTCAAACCTCAGACCCCAGACCTCAGAGGTTAGACCTCAGACTTCAGACCTCAAGCCTCAGAGGTTAGACCTCAGGCCTCCGATTTTAGACTCCTGTCCCTAAATTATAGATTTCGGGATCTAAATTCCACATTTAGGACTTCATACCATCGATTCTAGACTCTACACCTCAAACTTTAGACACCAAAGTCTGAACTTAGATCCAGGGAATATCCAAAGAGGGTTTTACGAAGTTGAGACGACTTAACTAGGAATCTACGAGAAAGGAACGATTAAAAGCAGTACTCATTATGTCAAGATAGTCCACGAGCCCCACGAGCCAGAGTAATGCGAGTTATATGAGGTCAGGGAAGTTAGAGTAGTTCAAGGCGATCTCTGTGAGGTTATGTCGGTTCAAGACAGGTTCTACTAGACCGAAGTGATCTGACACGAGCTCTTCGAAGTCTGGATAGTTTGAAGCTGTCTCTATGAGCTTGCGTTCGTTCAAAATGGGTTCTACGAAGTTGCTGTAGTCTAAGACAACTTCCACGCGACCCGGGTATTCCAAGGTAGGTTCTACGAGGTCAAAGTGGATTCTGCGATTCTGAGAAATTCCGTAGTAGGCAACAGCTCCGAAGTTTTCTTCGAATCAACCGATTTTCCCAGTTCTGACTCTTTCTTACATCCTTTGCTTTGAGCTCGAAGCTTGTCAGGACTGTCCTAACGATATTTTCATTCAGGAGTCTAGACTATTTGCCAGGGTCTACTCGCTTATGCTTACCATTTCAACCTGCAAACTGCCATATGTAAACGACGAAAATGCTGTCATAAGATCGCTCTGTCTCTATCTGTAAAGATCTCTCGTAAGATCATTCGACGGTATCTTATCTCTCTTGATGCACACTCTTTGCTTCGAGCTCGAAGCTTGCCAGGACTGTCCTAACGATATTTTTATTCAGGAATCTAGTCTATTCGCTAGGATTTACTCGCTTACACTTGCCATTTTAACCTGCAAACTCCCGTATGCAAACGATGAAAATGCTTTCATATGTCATCTGTCTCTATCTCTAAAGATCTCTCGTAAGATCATTCGACGGTGTCCCATCTCTCTCTCTACAGCCCAACCTCATTCCCAACTTGATCCAGCTTCTACCACCGGTGAAGGGAACAACAATACCACAATTTTACGAAGCTCGACGACAAAACACGGCTTTACCATCTCCGCTAAGCAAGCAATCCCAGACACCTCCCCAGAGGTCCGCGTGTCGATGCATCGCCGACAGCGACGTCCCTTCCCGAAACAATTTAGCAATCCCCGCCGCTTCCTGCCCTTCCATTTTCTCTTCGTTTCACGATCGCGTTTTCCAACAAAGCCCGATGCGATCCCTGTATCCGCGACCCGTTGCTCACCCTCGTTCACCAGGCCAACCCCCTGTTTCCGGGGATTTAAAGAGAAATACAAAGGACTTGGCAAGATGACGAGGGAATTATTCAGTCCTGTTCTCTACTTTGCCGGGCACCGCGCAATAGGCAATAACTGTCTGCCGTAGATAACGACCGAACTTCAACCCTTCCCTTCCGCCCCTGAAGGGACAGAGATAATTCGCGAAGATCGTTCTGGCGCGCGGAAAAGCCAATGGGGAATCGGCTATCCCGGCCCAGCGTAATAATACGTCCTCCGATGGATGAGGCGCGTGGCTTGCATGCAGATGCCATCAGCATCGATTAATTCTCGCGCCATTCCACCTCACCCTCTATGCTTTTTGCTCCGTCACACGACCACAGTCGGATTCCGCCGCGTTCAAACGATCTTCGCTTCATTTCGTTCTCAATTTCTTCCGTTTCATCTATCTGGGTCTGAGATTTCTGACCTGGGGTCTGATGATCCGAACAAATTGGAGATTCGTCAATTTCTCAGAAATTTTAGGAGTTGCAATGATTTTCTTCCAATTTACGTATCCTGGTAGAGATTTCTGTCTCGGGGTATGATGATTTGAACAAATGACGTCAATTTTTCAGGAGTTTCAATTTTGGGAGTTTCACTGTGGGTCTGATGAATTTTCTGAGGGCAAAAGTGTAGGTAGGTTAGAGATAGAGTTCAGGTTTGAGTACAGGTTTTAAAGTAAATTTTGCATTTACAATTGTGTCTTATCATGCCAATTTTTCATCTTCTTACTATTTGTGAGAGTTTCATTGTACTATGAATATGATTGTCCGTTGGCCTAAGTCAGGGAGAACTAGAGATTCAGGGTTTCTGCGAATCGTTGATCCTTCTCAACCTAGTCTCACCTTCTTAACATCTGATAGACTATGATATATGAACTAGACCTGACAATAAATGGCATAGAGTATAACACTAGGTAAGCATCATCCTTAAAGCAAAGGCAAGTATAGCTTAATGACGATTTAAGAGTGCAATCACAGAGACAGAAACTCAGAAGATTGATGCTCTA